GCCCAAAAACAGGACACACCAACGGCCGACGGCCAGCAACACAACAACAGCAGCAGCGAGAGCGACGGCGTGACCATGAGAGAACATCAGAGAGAGAGACCCGCGCCTGCCAGCCGTACGCACACACACACACTCACACAATCAGCACATTTTCTGAAAAATAAGCCATACTGATTCAAAACATTAAAGGGGTCATGAACTGAGAAACCAAAATTCCCTTGATCCACCTGCTTCTACATCACTGCCTGTTTAGCCCCGCCCACCAATTCTACACCATTGCCTGTTTAGCCCCGCCCACCGATTCTACATCATTGCCTGTTTAGCCCCGCCCACCGATTCACACATGTAGTGTTTACGAGAGAGGCGAACGCGCAGGTCTACGCAGAAACCAAACGATAAAGATGCTCTGAAGACAAGAAAACGCTGTGCAGTGCAGTTGTGGGAAAACAGTCTTTGCATTGCCTTCCTTCTGATCCCAATGTTAGGAAAGAGTGGATGAACTTTATTTTTAATGAAGATCCAGACCGCGTCAGTAAGAACTCGGTCCTTTGTTCACTTCATTTTACCGCGGATTCATTTATAAACAAGGCACAAGGTTTTCAGAAAGATTTAAACTAATCTTGACCTAAATCACAGCAGCGTCCATCTGTGAGGAATGTTGCTGTCAAACATACACAACTCTGAGCCAATCACAGCAGTGGGCATTTACTTCCGAGTGTACAATCCTCCACGTCTATTCAAACAGAACGTTCTGATGAGGGGGGTTAAAAACAGGACAGAAAATAGCCTATTACTTCTAAATTATGTTTTTTGATGTTAAAATCTTGATAACATTATAAGTGGACCTCAGAGAACAGTACAAAATAAAAAACAAAGGCAGTTCATGACCCCTTTAATAAAAAAAGTAATAGTATCTCAATGTGTACATGACACACACACACACACACACACACACCTGCAGCATTATCCGTGTGTTTCTCAGGCCGGAAGTCCAACATGGAGGAGGTTCAGGACGAGCTGATTCACAGACTGACTCTGGGCCGCAGCGCTCAGAAGAAGTTCCAGGCTCCGTCTCGCTCCTCCAGCAGCCTGCCGGCAGTCAACATCACGTACGACTCCACGCCGGACGAGGTCAAGGCCTGGCTGCAGCTCAAAGGCTTCAGCGAAGTGTGAGTGACTCTGTATCATGAGCGATTAAAGGAGTCATCGGATGCCCATTTTCCACAAGTTGATAAGATTCTTTAGGGTCTTAATGAAAAGTCTATAACATACTTTGGTTAAAATTTCTCAATGGTAGTGTGAAAAACTCAATTTTTACCTTGTTAAAATCAGCTCTGTTTTAGTGCATGTTCCTTTAAATGCTAATGAGCTCTGCTGACCCCGCCCCTCTCTTCCGTGCCGTTCTCATGAGACTGTTTACTTTAGCCGCAGAACTTTCTAACTAGCACGTTATTAGGAAAGGCGATTTGCAAAGATTCATAAAAGAACCTTATACTCACGTCTTCTGGACGTGAAGCTGGATCACGAATGATTCGCGCGAACATAGATGCATTTAGGTAGATCTGGGGCGCATTTCCTTCAGAAACAGACGTAATCCACTGCGTCTTCAGGGGCTCAGATGTCGGGAGTAAATGGCGACTGCTATGTTCATTATTACATCCAACAACAAAACACCTCAGTCGGTCAGGAGCCATTCTTGTCTGCTTGTTCAGCTGTGAAACAATGGCGGACTGATGACAGCTCGCTCAGGGCGGAGCTAAGGTGAAATGCTAGTGTCAATCAACAATCGTGGGAGGGGCCTGTCTGTGTGACGTCACACTGACAGGCATCTGAGATCGGCTTGATTTGAGAAAGGGGAAATGATTTAACGAGATTTAAAAAAACAAAAAACACTGGAGGGATCTTTATCATTATAGAGTGGTTGTGTACACACTGCCAACACACATTTCAGTTCAAACAACTTGTAAAAGTGCATGTAGCATCCGATGACCTCTTTAAGGCTGATGGGTTGAGCTGTTGTGGTTTGGTCTGCAGGACTATCAACAGTCTGGGTGTACTGACCGGTGCTCAGCTCTTCTCTCTGAACAAAGACGAGCTGAAGACCGTCTGTCCTGATGACGGCGCTCGAGTCTACAGCCAGATCACCGTCCAGAAAGCCGCTCTCGAGGTGAGTCGACGTCCTCTGCTTCTCCTCACAGATCCTTCCTTATTTCTCTCTTCATTCCTCTTTCAACTCTTCTGTCACAATCCATATGTCTCGGACCAGATCACATCACACTGACCGTGTGATTCTGGATCCATCCAGAAAGTGATAGCATAATAGTACTCCCTGAATCGAATCTCAAGTCTGGTTAGTTAATATGCTGATAAGTTGCCCAACTCTGTAGTGTCGCTTTGGTTTTTCTGTGGTGTTTTTGCTGTCTGCAGGTTTTCTTCTGACCCTCTCATGATCTTCACATGTAATCCACGTTCCTCTGAAGGTACTTTAGTATCGTAGCGAGGCGGCTTTGCTCTGTTTAGTTAACACATCATTAACCAGTTCCTACTTAAAGGGATAGTTTACAAACCTGTATGAGTTTCTTTCTTAAACAATATATTTTAAAGAATGTAGGTATGCAAAGAGTTGATGGATACCGTAATGTGTTAGACGTCAAAAACGGTTTGATTCCCAACATCCTTCAAAATATCTTCTTTTGTGTTTAAAACAAGAAAGAAATTCAGGTTTGAAACAACTTGAGTGTGAGTAAATGATGACAGAACTTGCATTTTTGGGTGAACTGTCCCTTTAAATTGGAATATGAAGTCCACACTTAGCTAGTACTCTGCTAAGTACTCTGTACTACTAATATTAGTGTCATTATGCAGTTCAATTTTTGTTCTCATCTGATAGCGTCAGTGCAGTTAAATCAATAATATTACTCAATATCAATTGTCTTTTAAACCCTCCCAAAATTAAAAAAAAAAAGCACATAAGAAATGGCATTTATTTCGATTGATCTTATGATGCACAGCGACTGAAGTCTGACAGGTAAACATGACAATAACAGTCAATCTGCTGTTTTATTCCAGCTGTTACTCCTGCTCTTATCAGTAAATATTTAGTTTATGCATTATGTTTAATGGTTCAATGCAAAAATATTTAGTAACTTGCCACAACTAGCTGGTGCAAACGACCCCTGATGATCCTGACACAGAACCGCTCGTTTCCTCCTCCAGCTCATATTAATATTTCTGTTATGACAACTCTCGGAGGGATTGGCATGGTAATGTACATGACAATGTTAATGTATTTGGTCTTGGCGGAATAGATCTGCTACACTGCTGCTGCGGCAGAACAAGTACCGAGACTTGCTACTGCCAATACATCCACAACATGCTGCTGTGAGCATGTAAGAAATACTGCTGCTGCACATATAACATACATGAAATAACCCCCATATAGCGTACATGAATCACCTCGTAGCAGATCTATACAGGTGGAGCTGGGGAAGGTGGAGGGTTTCTGAAGCAAGCTGCGACTGCTACGGCAAGCACTAGTCATATATTTGAATGTTGAGCAGCGAGCTCATTGGCTACCGATACAGGAGAGAACCAATCAGCTGTGCCATGTGATAATGATGTCATTAGGTCAGATTGAGTTAGACCTATCGGACTGCGCCATCTAGAGTTTCATGCCAGAACTCTGTATTTCAACAGCACAATTTATTCTGTTTGCACATGACTGATGATCTGCGTTTCATCGAATCTATTTGAAATCAGAGCGAGTGCACATTGTAATAAATGCTCGTGTTGTTTAATGGCTTCTGTCTGCTGTCTCCAGTCATAGTTAGAGAATAGATGCTTTCCCAGAATCCCCTTTACACGTCCATCATTGTTAGTTTAGAGCATCTGATGAAGACCCTTCATCCTCATTCACTCGTTTCTGCTCTTCCTCTCTCTGTCTCTCCATCACGGCCGCAGGTGTTTTGAGGTATTGAGCTTCACGCAGCTTGTTTAAATGAGCATTTTGTGAGATGTAGGGCTGGGTTGATTTCTCGATTTTAATCGATTCTCATTTTGTTGAACCGATATTGATTCTTAAATTCCAAGAACCGATCTATGCTGTTTTCTGTAACAAAACTTAATGAAACACTATTTCATTAACACATCCCATCCAGTAAATCACAATAAGCTTTGTCCTTAGTTACATTTGATAGGAAACAAAGTCTCAGCTTTCAATTTTTCATGAAATTCAAACAATAAATACTGTTTTGACACTTTTTAAAGTGGTGACAGACCGCTGTAGTGAATCGATCATCTCTTCCTCTTTACTAATAGTTACAGCAGCAAATAAACATGAATGAACATCAGAAGAAACAGAACAACTTACTGAAATTAATCATGTTTCATGTAATAAGTGTTTTAAATACAGAAAGGTGTCAATAAATCAGCTTGTGACCAATAATGTCACATTTACCTCCGAAATATATTCAATGACCATAAACTCGATAGTCAGCTAGAATGAATAGCATTTTGCTAAATATATGCACTTTATTATATATTCATTATATTTTCACTTAAGCTTTCCTTTAATATTAATTGATATTATTTAAAAAAATCTATTTTCTATTCTAACTACTTGTTTTATTTAAAAAGAAAAAAAGAGCCTCTAACGCTAGTATTCTCTATTCTTTGTCTATTCTATCTGCTTATTTTCTTTTTATTTATTATAAATAATGACCCTCTAACTCTAGCGTTCCCTATTCTTTTTATATTCTATCTCTTTGTTTTCTTTTTATTTATTATAAAAAAAACCTTGCTATGTGTACTAACTGAGACTTGTCACAGCACTTGTATATTACTGCTCTTTTCTTAGTTTTGATTGCTTCTATTGTCCTCATTTGTAAGTCACTCTGGATAAAAGCATCTGCTAAATGACTAAAAGTAATATTTAATAAATCCATCATGAAATCAAGTTTTGACATCCACTATACAGTATAAATGTTCATATTTAGAAAAAAAGTGGAGTAGAAACATAATTATAGCAATAAAAATATACATTTTATTATATAATTTTTATTTTAAAATCTTTGTTTATAATATAGTTTTTACAGCATTAGTTGAGAAAGATTTTTTTGTATGTTGTATGCATGCATGTATACTTCTGTATGTATAATAGTTTTTTTTCCCTTTCCCTTTCTTTCTTCTCTCATTTAAATACACACTTTATTATATACATTTCATAAATTATTACAATTATCTCATATAGTATTATTATAGACAATGCAGTTTCTTGTCAATCCTCCTGAGGGGTTTATGGGTGGGGGGAGGTTATGTAATGTTTATTTTTGGTCTGGATTCACCTAATTCAGTGGGTTAAAACATGGGGATAAGAAATTATTTAAAATAAAGAATTATTACATCTGTCTGTGTAATAATAAAACATGTGGAACAAAAAAAAATGTACACATACTGTACCTGATTGCTTATATGTGGCCCTGCAGCACAAAAGCAGTCTTAAGTTGCTGGGGTATATTTGTAGCAATAGCCAACAATACACTGTATGGGTCAAAATTATCCATTTTTCTTTTATGCCAAAAATCATTAGGATATTAAGTAAAGATCATGTCCCATGAAGATATTTAGTAAATTTCCTACCGTAAATATATCAAAACTTAATTTTTGATTAGTAATATGCATTGCTAAGAACTTCATTTGAACAACTTTAAAGATGATTTTCTCAATATTTAGATTTTTTTTGCACCCTCAGATTCCAGATTTTCAAATATTGTTCTATCCTAACAAACCATACATCAATGGAAAGCTCATTTATTCAGCTTTCAGATGATGCATAAATCTCAATTTTAAAAAAATGACCCTTATGACTGGTTTTGTGCTCCAGGGTCACATATATCCAAAGGAATCAATATTGATCGGAACTGAATTGAATTGCAAGCTTGTGAATGGAAATCGAATCAAATCGTGAAATCTGTCTCAATCCCCAGCCCTAGTGAGCTGTCTCTGAGTGTCTCACTGCGTTCTGTCTGTGTGTCTGTAGAGGAGCTCTGCCTCGGAGCTGCAGGAGGTCATGAGGAGGCGGCAGGAGAAGCTGGCGGCGAGCGATTCCGGCGTGGAGTCCTTCGACGAGGGGAGCAGCCACTGACCCCTCTCTCACCTCTGTCACCTCTGACCTTTTACAGGACGCCGTGGAGCGCGCTCACTTTGCCGCCATAATGCGCCGTCGCCAAGAACTCTTGGACCCGTCTGATAACGGATCGGACGCGGACGAACACGCGTGACGAGATGCGAGAGGAAGTTTGCTTTTTGTAGAGATGTGAACGTTGCTGCAGCGTTCTCCGTAGGTTCCTGTGAGAACATCAGAGCCAGTATGTAACGTTAGTCTAGTGCCATCGAGTTCTGCCTTCATAATCCAACATCCTGGAAACATTCATATATATATATATATATATATGCAGTCATATTGTACTTTTACTGCTCGGACAGAAAACATCTGTAAATATTCCCACACGATTGGCTGGATCTTGGACCAAATATCGATTACTATTGTTCCTCACAGACACTTCTGACTTCTTGAAGTTCAGCCAGATTATTTATCAGCCGCTTTGAATGTACGTGGAGACTACTCTCATTTTTACTAGCAAAATAATATTTCTGTACACGACTATTTTGTACTGAATCGTACTGCCAAAAGAGAAGCTTTATGGAAATGAAATGTCCGTTTCTGTAGATCTGACGTTTGTTGCGTTTCACAAGGACATGTGACGGGTTTTGGGCCAAAATCCTCTTCTTCCTCTCTCTGCAGATCTCATTCTAATGATGATATTGATGCCATCAAACCTTCTGAAATATAAATGACTTCTTGTAAGCATTGATTATTTTCTTCTCTGTCCCAGTAATGTGACCGATGTTTGACCAAATCAATCTCTGGGTTCAAGGTTTCTGTTTAAACACAAATGTAAATATAAAGTGTGTAGAATAAACGGAATCATGTGACCTTTGTGTGGCGTCCATGATAAAAAGATGAAGATCAACTCTCAGACCAGCATTTTCTACCTACAGCAAGATTCGAACCTGGATGCAGACCACTGAGCCACAGTCTTGAGAGCTTAGCTGTAAGAAGAAAAATAAATCAATAAAGAGAGAGATTCAAAATAGCATTCTATGCATGAAGGATCGTCACTCAGGCCACTGAAGCGTCTTGGCTTATATACTTCTTTTTGGAGGGAGTTTTATCTCAATAATTCAGAACCAATGAAAGTGCTTTATTTGCTTTTGTCAAATATGAGTGTAATATAAAATTGAGCTGGACTGCTATAGCATTCCTTAAGGCTGAATCAACGTTGCTTCATAACTGACAAATTTTGCAAGACTTGTGATTGATCTGAACTGAACCAACACTGAACTGCTTAATTTTCTCCTGTTTATCACTGTGTATTACGCTCTGTATTGTATATAGCGATAGGTGACTTAATATATTTGATAGTGTACATATTTTAGAGAGAAATTATACGTTTAAAGGGGTCATGACATAAGAAATCAAATTTGCCTCGATCTTTTGGCATATAAGAGGTCTCTGTAAAACATCCTGCAAGTTTCATAGCTTAAAACGTCCTCATTATAAACAAAGCATTTATTTATTCAAGCTCCGTTTGGATCAGAGGTGCAAGATGACGTCACCCGTGTAAAAATATTTGCATAAACGCCGCCTCTTAACGAATAGTAGTCGTCTCACCATAGGCCCCGCCCACTGGCGTTCAGCCGCTAACGGCTAAATGCGAGGTTGGTTGTGCTGGATACAGTAAACAGATGTGCCTTCACTTTCTGTCGGTCGTCAGGACTAAGGTTTAAACAGCTCGTTCACGTCTTTGTACAGATATCAGAAGGATCCCAGCTGTAAGGAATAAGTGGATAGTTTGTTTTTAATGGCATCCCGGATCGTGTCTGACGATTGATCGGAGCATTTTGCTTTGTAAACGAGGCACAGTGTCATGGAGTCACAAAGAAACGTGTTGAAAGATGAAGCGGAACTAGATCTGACTGCAGCTGCATCACAAACCGTAAGTAACAATGATTTCATAATGCTTTGTCTGGAAATGACCGTTTTTATTTTCATGTTGTCGAAACACAGGCTAGTGTTTCCTATGCAGTGACGTTAGCCAATCATAACAGTGGCCGATTACTGACACGCCTTAAAGGACACGCCCCTTAAAACAGCACGTTTTAAAGAGAGGGTCAGAATGAGGTTTTTCCACATTAATAACTTTGGTAACATTATCAGTAAACCTCAAGGAACATATTCAAACTCTAAAAAAAATCCATGTCATGACCCCTTTACTGAGGAAAACTTTGGATGGATTGTGATTTGTCTGAAGTAAGTTATTACATTTGGATGAAAGATGGTGCACTGAATGAATCGTTCAGGATATGAGCAGGAATGAGTCAGGAGTCCGTTTGGATTTCATGTTGACTTTAATACTGCAGCATTCAGAACTACAGAAGCAGATTCTGAAGAATAACACCGAGACACATGAAGCGACAGCGGACGTTTTAGATGGACTCGTATAATAATATCATCTCATGCACACATGCCGGAACCAAATAAAGCAGAGTTTAAAGGCACCAAGCGTCCATTCTGAGGTATCAGAGCATCTGATTCATTCACACTGAAGCTGTTTTGCTTCTGGTTCGGTTTCACCTCATACTGAGTTTTCAGTCCAGTGTCAGAATGACTGTAGAAATCTGAACAAGAGAGATTTCTGTAGAGGTCAAAGGCCGTATTTCTTCTGTAAGCCTTGAACAGAAGCGTCTCCCAGACCTGCGCTGTGAATCCAGTCAAACAGCTCCTGTAAGACTGACAGAAAGAACAGAGTTTGTGTTTATTCGCCGCTGTGCGCGCAGTGTTCAGTGCTTGTGTGTGTTCGTACGTTTCTTCTCGGCGGACGACATGAACATGACGGTCACGTCAAACCTCCTCACGCTCGCCAGGCTCCTCAGGACGGCCAGCAGAAGAGACGCATCTTCATGTCTGAAATCACAGACCAGACACAGGAAACAGGAAATTACATCATCATGTTGAACTCTCCTTGTCTGCAGTAAAGGCACACCAGCGATGATAACTATAACCATAACTCACTTTGAGTCATTTTCTTTCCAGCTGATGAACGAGAAAAACATTGAGAGCCAATCAGAATCTAAGCACTTAAAGTGGCAGAAGGCAAAACTGCAGCACGCTTATAATAAACAGAATGAAATCGTTATAGTTAGCATTGTAGTTATTATAGATGTTTCGGTTATAGTTGCAGTTATAAATATTGTTACACTGTTATAGTTACATTACCGTTATTATTTTCATCATTATAGTTACTATTACAGTTATCATTATAGTTGCAGTTATTGTTACAATTCAGTGTTATTTTACTGTTATTTATAAACTCTTATAATATTCTTTAATATTTAGAATTAGCTTTAATTTTTAGATTATCAGTGTTCATTTTAATTTTAGTTCATGTTTTGGTAATTTTGTTATGGCCTTTGTCATCGTTATTCGTTTTTTTAATTTGCTGTAGTTTATTTTTATTTCCGTTTTAGTAATTTTAGTACTTCAACTAAAACCTATTTCAGTTATTTCTCATTTTTGTTTATATTTTTCATCTAATATTTCTATTTTATTTTATTTCACTTACAAAAAATGATTTTTTAAAATCATTTTAGTTTTAGTTAACAATAACACTGTTATAGTTAACATTATAGTTAGTTATAGTTACCGTTAGAGTTGAGTGTTATTTAATATTATTGGTATACTATTATAGTATTTATTGCTATTTAGAATTAGCTTTAATTTTTAGATTTTCCATTTTCACTAGTAATAATTTTAAGTGTTGTTATGGCCTTTTGTAATTTTTATTACTTTTTTATATATATTCTTTTATTTAGCTGTAATTAAGTTTTTAGTTCCATTTTAGTTTTAGTAATTTTGGTACTTCAACTTGTATTTCAGTTAGTTGCAAAGTAACTTTTCTAATTTTCATTTATGTTTTTCATTAAATATTTATATTTTATTTCACTTACTGAAAATGATTTTTTCAAATGCTTTAGTTAAGAATAACACTGCTTTAGTTATTATTAGTTATGGTTATAGTAACTTTCGTTAAAGTTATCATTCTTGGTTCATCATCATCAACGGTTTACATGTACATCATCCTCATCCTCATCATCACGGAGCACTCACTGAAAGAAGCTGTGGAAGGTCTTGAGGATGTGGTTGAGAACATCAGGCTCCAGAGAGTTCTGGAAGATCTTCAGATAAGCGTCAGGACTGATTTGCTGCAATGTTAAATGTTGAGATGAGAAGCACAGATAGAGGATAGTAGGGCTGGGTAAAAAATATTGATATCTCAATATTAATTGATTCTCATTTTTATGAAACGATATCAATTCTTAAATCTCAAGAATCGATTAGTCTAGTCTGTTTTCAGTTAATAGACAGAACGTTGAAGGGCACTTCCCATCCAATATATCTTAATAAGCTTCGTATGTTTTGTTACTTTTGATATGAAACAAAAAGTCTCAGATTTCAAATTCTGTCCACTGTATTGCAGTATTCAAACAATAAATGCCGTTTTTCAGACGCGGCAGCGCGTAGCGCATGTGAACTGATCATCTCCACATTATTACTAGTTATAGCACAAAATAAACATGACTAAACATCCGAAGTTTTTATTTAATATTATTATTATTATTATTATTATATAGCCATAGTGAAACATATAATCACAAATATTTGGCCAAGTTGTTCAGCCCTATGAAGCACAGCAATTTTTTTTTTCTCAATCATAATTTTTAATCAGAAAATCTGCAATTAGACCCCCCCCCACCCAAATGTTGTGCACTTATTAAAAACATAATTTTACAGCTATAATGAAAAAATTTACACATTTGTATTAAATGAAGTATCTTGATTTCTATTAAGTGAATTATCTACTAAATTTTATTAATAGTAATATTTCTTATTTTGGTTTTATTTAGTCATTTTAATATTTTTATTTAATAATACTACTAATAATATTGCAACCATATTGATAAATATAATTTATAAAAAGAGGACCTGAGATGATGCCAACCCTGAAACAACATACAGAACTACCAAATTTTGCTATAAGTTTGATTGCATCATATAATAATTGCTGTTAATAGTGTTCATCGTCTGTTTGATTACGCCTTTAATTGATTTTTCCGTACATTTCTGCCATATGTACATTAACTGACAGTCACCACTGATAAGCTACTACTAAATATATTGTAGAAACTTAATTTGCTTTAAAGCTGCTTTGCAACGATTTGCATCGTGAAAAGTGCTACACAAATAAACTTGAACTGAACTGAATAATCACACTATTTTGTCCATATTGTTGTGTCTACACACAAGCATGCACTCAAGGTCACACGTACCGCTGAGAGTTTCTCGATCTCACTCAAGGCCTGTTTGTTTCCCGGCTCCAGCTTCAGAAGCTGCTCGAAGTCTGCAGACAAACACAAACGCATGTGAGCTCCTCAGAAACGAGGGTGAGGCTGTGAAAGCGACCGAAGCGATGGATGGCGCTCATCCTCATCATCACGGAGCACTCACTGAAAGAAGCTGTGGAAGGTCTTGAGGATGTGGTTGAGAACATCAGGCTCCAGAGAGTTCTGGAAGATCTTCAGATAAGCGTCAGGACTGATTTGCTGCAATGTTAAATGTTGAGATGAGAAGCACAGATAGAGGATAGTAGGGCTGGGTAAAAAATATTGATATCTCAATATTAATTGATTCTCATTTTTATGAAACGATATCAATTCTTAAATCTCAAGAATCGATTAGTCTAGTCTGTTTTCAGTTAATAGACAGAACGTTGAAGGGCACTTCCCATCCAATATATCTTAATAAGCTTCGTATGTTTTGTTACTTTTGATATGAAACAAAAAGTCTCAGATTTCAAATTCTAGATTTTTGTCCCCAAATCATCCCTAGACCAGACGAACCCATGACCGTGTGCTGCGGACACACGTACCGCTGAGAGTTTCTCGATCTCACTCAAGGCCTGTTTGTTTCCCGGCTCAAGCTTCAGAACCTGCTCGAAATCTGCAGACAAACACAAACGCATGTGAGCTCCTCAGAAACGAGGATGAGGCTGCGAAAGCGACCGAAGCGATGGATGGCGGACCTTCTTTGGCCTCTCTGATCCTGCCTCGAGCGGCTCTGGCCGTGGCTCGTCTGGCGAAGGCTTTGGCGTACGAGGCGTCGAGAGCGAGAGCCGCGCTGCAGTCCTGCTCCGCCTCGCTGAACCTGCACAAACACACACCGCTCTCTCACACACTAGACCAGTGCTGGGGAAAGCTACTTTTAAAACTAATGCATTACAATATCGCGTTACTTACTAAAAATGTAACTCATTGCATTACTTAGGTACTTTTTTTTTTTTAAAGTAATGCGTTGCGTTACTTTTGTGTTACTTTTTCTCATCAGGGCTGGGCTTGCTTGTTTGTTTTTAATATAAAAAGTTCTATTTTTGGCAAATGTGAAAGCCCTTTCACACCAAAAGTGAAATGAATAAGCCTCAGGCTTAAGGTAATGTAAATATGTGACCCTGCAGCACAAAAGCAGTGTTAAGTCGCTGGGGTATATTTGTAGCAATAGCCAAAAATACATTGTATGGGTCAAAATTATAGATTTTTTTTTTTATGCCAAAAATCATTAAACGTCACATTTACCTCAGAAAAACATATTCTGTGACCATAAACTCGTTAGTCAGCTAGAAAAATAATCTGTAGAGAGGGGAATTTTGCTAAATATATGCATCAACATATTCATTATAATTTTTACTGTTCTTCAATGCTTAATTTATGTTTGAATAAATTCAAGTAGAAATATTCAATTAATTGAAGTAGATATTTATTATGTAATTGTAACTTTATTATTTTAAAAACTTCATTGTGTATTTTTAACAAATCAGTCAATTTTAACCTTCAATATTATAATAATGTAGTACAGTATATTTTACAGCATTAGTTGAGAGATTTTTTTTCCTTGAGAAAATTTGGCATGTACTGTTCCTGATATATATCCAAAATAATCGATATTGAATCGAATTGGTAATCGAATCGAATCGCAAGCTTGGGAATGAGAATCAAATCGAATCGTGAAATGTGTCAAAACCCAGCCCTAGAGGATAGAGTGGAGCCTGTGAGCGGCACGGACGCTACCTTCAGATATCTGTAAGTGGATTGTGGGTGACGGCTGATCTTCCTGAGGTCGGCCTCCAGCTGGAAACTGCTGCTGGGTGGAGGAGGAATCGATTCAGCATCTGCAGATGAATCTTCAGGGGCCCTGAAACACAAGACACTGGCAGACTCACTCCAGCAGCAGGAGAGCGTGACGATCGGATCACGTCATCTGCTCACCTGGATACAGGAGCGTCTGAGATCTCCTCTATCTTCTGGATCTTGGGATGCGGTGAAGACGTGGACGGTGAGATCTCTGCACCCACCTCCTGGATGTCAAGCCTCCTCAAGGGTTTCTGAGACGACACAAACACACACGACGTGTTGACATCTAAATTGACCTTCATATTTAGACTGCTCTCTCGTTCTGGACTCACAGTGGATCTGAGGTGTTCAGGTTTGTGGATGGGCTGGATGCTTCTCTGTTTGTTCTCCTCTGGAGCCAGAAGACCGCTGCTCCTCACCTCCTGATGAACACATGCACAGGTGAACAGATCGGACTAGAGCTGTGTGATTCATCCAAACCAATAACAGTAAATGAACAACATGAACTCTATCTGTTTCAGTCACTAATTATAACGTGCAACAAAAGAGTAGTATAATTTTATTTAATGCCATGTCATTATTATTATTATTTTTATTTACTTTTAGTTTTGCAACAAAAGAGAAGGCTCCCTGTGAGTTTCAACCAAAATAAAACCTTGATGGTATAAAAATTTGTAAAGTCTAAAATATTAGCTTCATAATTTTACTGTTGTAATGTAAATAATTATTATTTTTTCAAATACTAGATTTTTTTTATTTGTGCAAAATACTGGAATAAAATAATTTTTTTAATCAACTTTAAAGATGATTTTCTCAATATTTAGATTTTTTTGCACCCTCAGATTCCAGATTTTCAAATATTGTCCTCTCCTAACAAACCATACATCAATGGAAAGCTTATTCATTCAGCTTTCAGATGATGTATAAATCTCAATTTTAAAAAAATGGACTCTTACGACTGGTTTTGTGCTCCAGGGTCACGTATGTCTGTACAGTAGAAGGTTGTGCGTTCTGGATTGCATGAAGAAAAGGACGCAGGAGAAGAAAGTTCAAAACTCTTCAGTAATTAAAACACAAATATAATGTTTATCTAAACATTAGTATGGTTGCATTAGATCATCAAAGGTCAGCAGCAAAGACATTGGCTACTAAAATGTTATTTAACATTTAGAATTATTGCAGCAAGTTTTTATTCATTTTGAGGAATACTGAATCACTCCCGGTTTCTGTCTCCATGGCAACACCGGAGCTGTCACTCAATACATGGGAAACAAAGTAACTGGTGTTACTTATTTAAAAAAGTACTTTAAAATTAAAAAGTAATGCGTTACTTTACTAATGACTTGAAAAAAGTCATCTGATTATGTAACTGGCGTCTCCGCCAGCACCGCACTAGACAGTGAGCACACTTCTGAGGGATGTCACCTGTGGAGTTTGAGGTAGGCCATGGCTCTGTTAGCAGGCAGCAGTGCGTTCGTCCCATCCGCCTCCATTCCTCTGGAGTAACACTCCACCGCTGCCTCATACTTGCCTTCTTTAAAGTAAGCATTTCCCTGAAACGTACAGAAGCAGTGTTCAGATCGATGTATTCACATGATGGAGAAGAAGAAGAGACGCTTCTCACTCTGTCCTTCTGCACGACTGCTTCCTGTTTCCTCTGCTGTTCCTGCAGCTGCTGTAACGGCTCTGCATCGCTCTCGCTCTTCTCCTCCGTCCGTCCGCTCGATCCCAGCACCTGGAACCAAGCATCGGTCACTGACGGATCTCACAGCACACGCATCTGTCAAAGCGGATCACTGACACACCTGCTGCAGCTTCTGGATCTCACTCTGGGCCTCCGAGCTTCCAGGATCCAGTTCGAGAACCATCTCATAATCTGGATGAATAAACAGAGACGAGACGTGAACTGGATAAAGATTTGATTCTGGACTGGATTTTTATTTCTTGTGCATCTGTTGAAATGCGTGATCATTTTATTTTTTCCTTTTTGATTTGAAAAGTATATAAAGGAAATTTACACTACTAGTCAATTTGGAATAATTGAGATTTGTAATGTTTTTAGGAGTCTTTTATGCTGCATTTATTTGAAAACTGCTGCTTAATATTTTTGTGTAAACCTTTTAGGATTGTGTAACAGTTTTTATTATACAAAAAAGATAGGATGACAAAATAATGAAAATAACATAAAAATATAATAAGTTAAAATAAAATAATTAGAATAACCTAAAATAAGACTGGAGTATTATCTGCTGAAAATTTAACTTTGATTACAGCAATAAATGTCATTTTACTGTATATATTCATGTAGAACAGTTATTTTATATTGTAATAATATTTCGCAATTTTGCTGTCTTTACTGTGTTTTTGATTACAAAATAAAATAATTAAAATTAAATAGAATTACACATAAATAAATTAGAATGCATTTAATTAAAACAAGACAAGTAATGATGCTGAAAATTCAGATTTGATCACAGCAATAAATTACATTTTACAATATATTTACATAGAAAATATGTACTGTTTTTACTGTATTTGTGATCAAGTTAGGGAGCCTTGTTGAGCAGAGGACACTTCTTTCAAAACGTTTAATTATTCCAAACTTTTAACTGTTGTTGTATATAGCAAAGTTCATAAATGAAGGTAATTAAAAAGGCTCTAAAATGTAAAGCACTTTGAATTATCGTTGTGTGTGAAATGTGCTATATAAATAATAATGAATCATTTAGACTGATTTGTGAACCAGTTCAACTGAATCATTGAAAAGATCCAATTCGTTCACAAATTCAGGCACTTTTTTTGCTGATGGATTATTTCAGATCGGAGCAGAACTAGATAAATATTCAATCACAATAGAATAACCTAAATTAAGACTGGAGTATTATCTGCTGAAAATTTAACTTTGATTACAGCAATAAATGTCATTTTACTGTATATATTCATGTAGAACACTTATTTTATATTGTAATAATATTTCGCAATTTTGCTGTCTTTACTGTGTTTTTGATTACAAAATAAAATAAAATAATTACAATTAAATAGAATTACACATAAATAAATTAGAATGCATTTAATTAAAACAAGACAAGTAATGATGCTGAAAATTCAGATTTGATCACAGCAATAAATTACATTTTACAATATATTTACGCTATATATACTCAGACCTTCGAGAGCGTCCTGGTGTTTGTTGAGCGCCGCGCGTGCCGCCGCTCTCCTGATGTACGCTTTGACGTATTTCCCGTCCAGAGCGATGGCCAAATTACAGTCGGACTCCGCCACGGCGAACCTGCGGCACACAAACACTCTCATCAGGACCGATCCACCAGAACACACCTGTATGAAGACGGGAGATGCAGCTGTACTTGTTCAGTCTGAAGAAGCAGGCCGCTCTGTTGGTGGGTAGGACAGGGCTGTACGGATCGGCGTCCATTCCTCTGGTGTAACACTCGATGGCGCTGTCGTACCGGCCGTCCCTGAAGCACTCATTCCCCTGAAACATTAAAGGAGTCCTATTATGCTTTTTCACTTTCTCAACTTTAGTTAGTCTGTAATGTTGCTGTTTGAGCATAAAAAAATTGGTTACCTGGCCCAGGTAACCAATCACAGCACACACTGGCCCAGCTAACCAATCACAACACACACTGGCCCAGCACTGGCCCAGCCTTTCGTATTTCAGAATGCGGTATCATTGGCTGATATGGTCTTAAAGGATTAGTTCACTCTCAAATTAAAATTTCCTGATAATTTACTCACCAGGATTATTCTCCTTATAGTGGACTTCAACGGCTACCAACCGGTTGAAGGTCAAAATGACAGTTCAGTGCAGCTTCAAAAGGCTCTACACGATCCGACGAGGAATAAGGCTCTTATCTAGCGAAACGATCGCTCATTTTCTAAAAAAAAAATATATATATATGCTTTATAAA